CTCTCTCTCTCTCTCTCTCTCTCTCTCTCTCTCTCTCTCTCTCTCTCTCTCTCTCTCTCTCTCTCTTTTTCTCCATCTTTTTCACCTCTCGCTCCCTCCCTGATTAGATGATCTCGAAAGGGAAAATAAACCGCTCTCTCCGCGCTGACTGTAATTACCACGCCAAACGAGCCAGCTAGTACGCGCGGTATTTCACCGGTTTTACATAAAATTATTTTATATAATAGGTTACTGTACCGCGTATAATCGGACGGCCTATTACATTAGAAAAAAATGAAATTAATACTGCAAACACTCTTTGAAACGTCCAGAAACAGATACGTCCGCGGTAAAAATTTTTTCGCTTGCCAGCACGAAAATTAAATATTACCAGTTATTGTAAAATGCAGTATTTCTCTTACTTCTCACGTATATAGCAATGATTCTAATTACGAGAACGTCCCCCGATGAAATTTATTGGTAATGGAAGAGAAACCAGTTAGAAGCGCAATAAACCTGCCGTACAATCTTAGTTAGTTGAGGGCATAATATTTAAATCTCCTTATTTACCAATACCGAGGTATTCGTAAATAAGACACGTTAATTACTCGCGTAAAATGAGCCAGAGAAATATAATCCGTGCACAATGTTAGCATTCCTACATCGATATACATTCTCATAATTAAAGCGCATAAAGCCTCGCGCGGAACTCTCATCGAGCGTGTTCCGTATCTCGCTCGCGAATACGCGGCGACCTTCGCGAGTCTTATTTCGATGCGAGTAAATCATCGGATGCCACCACGGACCGTGGAGTTCAGATCTCGGAGCCCCAATCAACTTCGAACACACAAGACCCCCTCCTCCCCCCCTATTTCTTTCGACTTGACTCGACTCGACGCGACGCGGCGCGGCGCGGCGCGGCGCGGCGCGGCGCGACGCGCTGACCTCGAGATCGTTAAATTAAATTTATGCCAGTTCCTCCCCTCGCCCCCTTTCGCCCCGCAAACCTTCTTGCACGGTGCGCGCGTTTATCGTTACCGCGCGACATTACACTGAATTAACGTAACAAGGCTATTAGTCCGCGATTTTACGACTTTAATTGTGACAGCGGGACCGACCGCTCGTTCCCGAGGCTCACAAATTGGCTCTCGAGACAATCGCGCGCGGGGGCCGTACACATCGTGCCGTATACATCGTACGTACCTGTCAACCGCGGATAATTAAACCTCGCATACGTAGGTACGCACGTACGTACGTAAATGTACGATTGTTCGCGGACAACGTTTCCCAGGGAATGTCTCGGCCCCGGACGGGATCGCGAGCGCTGGGTGACTACGCGTCTCTTTCGGATAACAAGTGGCAGCCCATTCGTTACGGCGAGCACGAGCAATAATGTTTCGCTAAACGCCGAACTAGTTATTGTATAATTGAACGAAACGGCGAAATGCGCGTCGTTACGTAAAGTCCCGTCGTTTAAAGCGAGGCCGTATCAATTATCGGAATCTCTCACAATTGTTGTGACTTATTATGAATTTCCTGCGATAAGCGCGATATATAAAATAAAAGCGCTGTGTAATTTGATTATATGCGCGGATGCTCGAGCGTGCGGCTATCATCTCTGTGCTCATCGATACGAATTTGTAATAAATTGTAACGAGATCGGTAAAGCTCGATCGTCGTGTTTACGCGCGACACAATCGATTTAACAATAATTTTTGAGATAATTGACTTTAAACCCACTTTCGCGTTACGACGTTGTGTAGCTTTTTCATTTGACGCGTATTCTGATGATGAGAATATAAAA